GGGATTACAGGCATGAGCTACCACACCCAGTCTGAGTATTTTTATGTACACATTTGATTTTTAAATTACATACCTTTTATAAATTTGAAATTTGTTTTGCACATATCTATGGCTTTACTACTTTTCAAGACAGAAATCACATGTTAAAATACAGACTACTCAAAAAATAAAAGTTGTCAAGAATGGGGTTACAATATCCATCTTGCAGACAATACAGATTATATTATGATTTAACTGTTGAAATCAGAAGTAGTGTACTATACTGAATTCTGGCTATAAGGTGCTTAATCACAGGAAAACTTATTTACAATTTTCCTTTACAAGATAAATAGCAACCTATTTCTCACATATATTACAACTATGTTTATACAAACTGACAAGATGTAAAGACAAAATATTAAGAAAATTTTAACATATAAAAAAAACTTGTCTCATACATTGTCAGGATTTTTTTATAATCTAGAATAAAGGCAAATGTGGTTTCTTTAAAAATGCAAGCCACATACAATTACAGAAAAAATTTAATCAAGCCACCTAATATGACATATTTCACAGATAGCATTCATTTAATGTTATGTCCAAAAATTTCCATGTAATGATGAAGCTAAATATCAATTAAAATAGTGTCAACAAGAATATGCAAACTACAAAATATTAGCAAGTAAACTTAAATCATGCATTTCTCTCTGAAAGAAAAATGTCTGGCTTTGAGTTAAAAAGGCAGGCAAAAACAATTAAGAACTTTCTTTAAATAGCTTATATTTACCAATCTAGGATAATGTGTGTGTTTTCCCAGCTATACATGCAGACTGCACCTCATGGTGAATGATTCAGTTACTAAAAAAGCAGAAAAAGGGGCCTGAGATTTAGCTCAGTAGTTCTGGTGCCTGCCTCGCAAGTGCAAGGTCCCGAGTTCGATCCTGGGTACCAAAAAAAAAAAAAAAAGCAGAAGTACAAAATAACCATTTAAGCTGGAGACAGCAGAGACATCAAACCCTGCCTAGCAAGTAATGAGGCTGGAGGTTAAACTGAAGCATAAAATCTTAGTACTTAATCCTACATCAACATTTGAGTTTGGGACTGTGATTGATAACTTATACTATTTTTTTCTTTGGGTAAAAATGTCTTTGATGAGTCACTGTTTCAGAATCACCAATGTAACTTCAAATCATTCTGCCATTAAGACTGCTAGAAAGATTGCTTTGTTTTCTAGATCCACAACTTGATAAAAAGCTCTCAATACAGAAGACCTGGAGGACCTGGGACTTAGCTCAGTGGTTCCAGCACCTGCCTCACAAGCACAAGGTCCCGAGTTCGAGCCCCGTACCAGAAAAAAAAAAGGCCTAGAGAAGATGGATTTCACAAGTCACTCAGTTAAAGTGTTCTAATGAAATGGAGCTGCTAAAACACATAATTTGTTCTGAAGAAAATTTACAAAACTAGCAATCTCTTTTTCTCCAGAATTACAAAAAATAAAAATCTATGAATCAGCACTCTAATGTGATCACAAGGGATAGCAAATTAAAGTAAAAACAATTATAGGCTGTCTATAACATTCCCTAATCCATGTCTTGAAGTCTTAATACTGACTGCATGTTTTGGAGAATTGAGCATGTCAACACCCTTAAAATCCATTATGGTCTCTAAAGCTAGGTGTGGTTAGGGCAAAATTAATTTAGTTTATTACTTACAC